TGATTTGTATTTTGTTATCTAATTAATGACATATTGATTGGTCATAAACATGACTAATTGGTTAACAATTATCATTTGACACCTTTTTGTCATGAGTTACACACAAATGAGAGATTGTATTGCAATTGAATTTGATATTTGAATGCTATTATCAATAGAAATATAATTCTTATGAACAAATAGTTTTAAGATATTATAAATGCATTTAATGACCATAAAAGTCATTTCATTTATGATATTTAAGTCTTGTATTTGATTTAAAAGTGTTTTGAAAACCTTATGATCATTTATTTGCGTTAACCGATCAAATGGTCATCCCTTATATGTAAACAATTTGCAAATCACTAAAGTTTCACAAACTATTGAATGCGTTTACTGTAGTTTATTAAACACAAGTAATCTAATCTCAAGTTTTATCATTTATTTGACAACTGATGATTAAAAATAAATTTTTGTTTAAAATAAGTGTAAACTGATAGAAAATAGTGTCAATTCCGTTTAATACTGTATTTATATTACAGTTATACTGTAATTGACAATATATTTAAAATAACAAATATAAATTATCATTATTGATGAGTTTATTAGACGTTTAGTTATTATTATTTAGTCACTACAGCATATGCTACAGTATTTAGGATTGTGTTCAAATTGAATAAATTAGTAAAATGTCATAATTTATCTATAATTGAAGTTAAATATGACTAAATGATTACTAAAATTAGTAGTTTAGCAATTTGACAGTCGGAATCAGAATATTCTTTATTATTAATTAGAATTCTTGTCTATTAAAAGCTACCAGTCATTGATCTTTTGAATGTATCATTGTAAATAGTTGATTTAATTTAAATTACACATTATTCAAGAGTTACACAATGCCAAGAATGCACTGTTGGTTAGAAAAATAGTATGGTCTAATGCTATGCAATAAATTGATGTAATCCACAAAATTTCACTGTAAGATGATTATAAATATCAATCACAATTTTTGATACAGTGAATATCGGTGGTTACTATGCACAGCATCAAATTTATATGGCAATAGGTTATATATTTGGTAATTTCATAAAGAATTGTTATTTAAAACTTATGTTATATTGTTTTTACTTTTTTTTGGAAATACTTAAGAGTAAATAAGTTTTTGATTATTGTAAAATTCAATACAATGTATAGCAGTAACTTATTTATTTGAAACTTATTTAACCAGGAAATGATCATTTAATTCACTATACAAATCATATACTATACAAATACATATTGTACTTGAATTTCTCGTGTTATATAACTAAACATAATTTAATACTTATATTATTTAAGTATTATTAAATGGTTTTATTAACAACTAAATTGATTAATTTATGTATCATACAGTAACACACTTACAGTATTTATTACACAGTACTTAAGATTTTTGAGTCAAGAATATTAATTAATATATTTAAATTTTTTATTAAAATAATTTCATGATTTGTTTAGTGCCGACACATGACAAGAGATTTAATGAAAATGTTCACAAATGTGGTGAGAATTAAAGGGAATTTGANACACATGACAAGAGATTTAATGAAAATGTTCACAAATGTGGTGAGAATTAAAGGGAATTTGATTGTAATTATGAAACTAAATTGATTGCCACTACATATACAGAATAAGGACTCATTTTGTAATGAGATCTCTGCGTGTGGTGGCGATACCAATGATAATAATATGGTGACCCCCAGTGTGACCGATGACCCCAGTTGTAACTTTTGTGTTACAGTTGTCACCAATATTAAGGATATAGTGAGCGGAGGGCCCACAGAGTTGGAGGTGAAGTACTTCGTTGAGGACGCCTGTCATTACTTGGGAAGCTTTGAGAATGAGGTGACACCAGACCCCGCACCCCTACACCCCCACTCATCCATACATTTGCATTAACTAACTCTTTGTTGACTTTCAGTGCGTAAGTCTGGCCGACGAATACCTCGACACTCTGTTTGCTTATATCCGACAATCACTTCAACCGCAGAAGTTTTGTCAATCGATCGGAGCGTGTAATACAACTGTTGCAGCCATACAAACCAATAGAGTGGCCGATATATCAGAGGTGGTGAACATATTTCCCGCACAAATGCCTTTAACTCCGCTAACAAATGCTGAGCCCATCGAAAGAGCGGATGATATGGAGTGTATTATTTGCAAACGGATTGTCAAATACGTTGTCGACGAGTTGAAAGACAACCGCACAGAAGAGGCTATCATAGAAGCCCTCCAAAGGATCTGTTCTCTGTTTCCNAACAAATGCTGAGCCCATCGAAAGAGCGGATGATATGGAGTGTATTATTTGCAAACGGATTGTCAAATACGTTGTCGACGAGTTGAAAGACAACCGCACAGAAGAGGCTATCATAGAAGCCCTCCAAAGGATCTGTTCTCTGTTTCCTCAGAAGGATCGCACCAAATGTAACGCTTTCATCGATCAATACGCCAACGAACTGATCCACATTCTGGTGGAAGAGGGCGACCCAGACCTCGCCTGCACTCTTCTCGGCGTTTGTGTGCCTTCGAGTGTATGGAAAGCACTTCAACGACCAGAAGACGAAAGAGAAGGACTGAAAAACGAGACAAAGACTGCCATCAAATGGTCTGAAGTGGAAGTGGAGAGCGTGTCCATTGAGTCGACATCTGATTCGGTCAACAAAAACAAGTTATGCTTCGAATGCGAACTTCTGATGCATTTCATACAAAACGAATTATACGATTACAAGAACGAGGAACAGATCGAAGACTTCATTGAACACAAACTCTGTCCCCGAATGCAAGTCGTCATCACAAAGGAAGCGTGCGATACATTCATCCAACAGTACGGCCCACAAGTGCT